TGCATAGGAAGGAAATATTATTGAGGTGCACTGTATGGTCATAGGAATAGTTTGTGAAAATATTGATTAGAAAAATAAAGTATTTTTGATGAAAAACTGCCTAAGACTCTCCTTTAGCATAGCCATGAAAACATCAGTGACAGATGTCGCAATGCATCAAACTATTCAATTTTGATAAACAAAATAGAAAATAAATAAAACCATTTAAATAATATATATATATCGAAGAAAAGCATCCATTTAATGTTATTCAACAAAATATTAATTTAGCTTCTGTCTCATTGGATAGATCTAATCTAATTATTCGTTTCGGATAAAATATTGTCTATTTTGTTGTTATTATTGATGAATGATTGATAAAATAATATTTAATAATTGTCCATCTCATATACTGTTTGACTTAGTAAAGGAAAACATATTTATTTACTGTTTGTATTCTTCTAAGCAATGTTGCTATGTTTATTAATACATCGGTCATGTGTAGGTTTATTTGATGAATGAGAAAAAAAGAAAAACAGGTAGGTGTATTATTTGATGAAATAGGTGATGAGTGGTTGTTATGTTTAAAAAAGAAAAAAAAAAATTTATTTTTAGCTTAAGATTCTTTTGTGATGATGAGTCCAATGGGAAATAATATGGATGAAACTGAAATGAAAAATTCAAATGAAACAGTAAATGGAAAAGGAACAAACAGTCTTTTATCTACATTTAATCGTAAACGTCGTCATACATTTGATGTTGACCTAAAAGTTGAACGTGTTCTTTCTCTTCCATATGCAAGTGGAAAATTTTTTTTCAAAATTCGTCTTCTTAATGGTGGAAATCATGTTTATATATGTCATGAGTAAGATTGATAATTTATTTTATTATTATTTAAAATATTTTATTTTTATATTTTTAATAGACGATTTGAAGTTCATGAAAATAAAATTGAGTTTAATATAAGTGATCATTTTCCAGTAAAAATGACATCACGTGTTGATAATTTTACACTTGATCACTGTTATTGTCGAATTTCAATTCGAAAAGTTTGTTTAAAAAAAAAAAAGAATTAAAATATTTCTTAGTATTTTTGTTTTTGTTTATTGTAAAGGAAGGACGTGCTGGTCGTTCATATGAAAAAATTGGTTATTATGACTTGGATTTAGCATCTGTTGCTGGAAGTGGTGATGAATCGAAAGCATGTTTACTTAATGGTTATAAACAAACAAATAGTAGTCCATCGAATGCTTATCTTGAAATAAGAATGAAATTAACTGTTCTTGAAGGCGATCATATTTTTCGAAGGTTAGTTTTTTTTTTCTTAAATAATAAAATAAATTGTAAGTTTTTTGTTTTTGTTTTTCTTTTTGTTTTTCTCAAGACCAGACAGTGATCATCCTTATATAAAAAAAATTGAACAAATATCATCGAATAAAAAAATCCATGAATCATTTCCAGGTTTGTTTATTAGTATTGTTTTATTTGAAAATATATTTTAAAAATATCAATATAATAAAGATGAATGTTCATCAACAATAAGTGGATCTGCTGGTGAACTTTATCCTCCATTGACAACAAATCCAAATCGAGGTCATTCTCGTCAAGCAAGTAAAAGTAGTATGTGTTCAAATTATTCAACAAATAGTGTCAATAGTACAAATAATTCAAATCCTCTGGATAAAAATAATTTAAGGTTAGTTTTTATTTTCATTTTCCATTAGACAAGATATAGAAAAAAGAAATTCTTAGACATATTTTATACAAGTCTGATCATTTTCACAATGTTCATTCCGATCCGAATATGTTTTCTAATAGCAGGTAGATGCATGGGTATATTCCTGCTTTATTTTTTTTTATTCTTGATGCTTTAATGAAAGACAAAGAAAAATATTTTATTTCATTCTAAAATATTTTGTGTCTTTTATTTAGACAAGGTAGTGACGAAGAAAGTCATCATCAATCACAACGACGTTTAATTAATAAAAGAAGAGTTTGTTTAAAGAATTTTCAAAAAATCGAATCAATAAATTATTAATTTTAGACTCCATGTATTGATCAATTTGGAGATATTCAACGACGATTACATTCAACTAGAGTCGATGCAAATGAAATAGTCAATAGTGTTATTAATAATACTGCAAAAACAGTAGAAAATCCAAATGGTTTGTTAAACTTTTCTTTATAATAAAATAGGAAAAAAAAAAAACTTTAAATTTAAATTTAATTAAAGGTTATTTATGTTTAATGTATAATGAAGATGGAACAGCACGTGTTGGCTCATCGTCATCGTCATCTCTTTTTGTATCTACTTAATATTCATTTTTCTTCTATTTATTTGTTATTATTTAAAATTGTCTTCTTCTTTTTTTTTTTGTGTTTCTAATTAATGAATTTGAGTCTCGGTGTTTATTTTTTTGTTTCTTTTTAGAAAATAAAAAATTTCTTGAAGTTTAATAATGTTTTCAAATATTCTATAAAACAAATAAATGTCGTCAAATAGTTATTTATCTTATAATAGATTTAAACGAGATTTTATTGATTTTACTTGAAAATATTTGTCAATTATTTCCTGTTGAACTAATATTATGTGTAAAGAGAATTTATTTAGAGTTTCAATATTGAAGTAAACGAAAAGAAAATTTGTTTTTATTTTTTTTTTTTAATAAAAAATAAAATAAAAAAACTTTTTCTATAATGTTCGTTGTCTTCTATTAGATAGATCATATTATTGACTANTGTACTAATTGAAAAGTATTCAGATATGTTGAAAATAATCATTTTAGATGAGAATGAATTAAGCAAGATCAACTGTAAGTAGCGCGAATGGTTCAGAGCAGATTACCTAGAAAGCTCTACACTTGATTAAGCCGACCAATGACGAAATTTCAAAAGGCGGATAAAATTAAAAACTTTAGTTTGGAAAAAAATATTATTTCTCTGCTACTACATTTTATACATATTTAATAACTGCACGCATATGAGTATAAAAAGTCATTTTCCAATTACAAAGACAGTAAGAAAGAGCAAGAGGCAGATATAAAAATAGACCGTAGTTAGAACAGTGTAAAGAGAATACAAGATTCATAATTAATTGTCTAATGAGAATCACAGAAGTTTAAATTTTCAACTATAGTGATGACAAAAGAGATTTATTAAATCCAGTTTTCTAAAGCTACATAGTACAATATGAAAGCATGGCTAAAAGCAGTTGCTCTGAGTATTTTTCTTCTATTAAATTGTATAGATTTCATATATTTGATGTATCGGTTACTTAAGTTAGGCTACTTATCTGAAATGAATATAAATAATAAGATGATCGTGAATGACTACGCGTCGTTCCATAGCAACAGTGACAAATATGACTCTATAGATAATCTCGATTATTTGCTTGTCCCTCTACAAATACAAAAGTAGATGACGGACATGGTTATTTAATTCCTTCATCTTTTTTTCTGTTTATACTAGAATTTCAATACGATAATGAAAAACAAAATTATTTCACTTACCATGCTACTTATGTTTAAGCTGATATGATAATGTCACAGTTAATAAAACTTAAATGAAATAATCACTGAAGTTCAAACTGTTTTATTCAGATTGGATGAAATTTTAATATGTATAGAAACCAATCTTAGTGAAAATAATTGTCCAAGATTATTTTTTCAATTGTTTTTTTACTGCAGAACAAATTTATTTCTGTCTATGCATATTTGGAAGACTGTACTATGTCTATTGAAAATGTCGAGAGAGAGAACAGAATCGTGAACAAGTTCTTTTTCTCATTCTCTCTACGTCGTGTTCTGTCTTTTATGTTTAAACTGATAATTTGCGTTGTCAATAGATATCCTGCCGAGTTTTTGCTTTAGCGAATGCAAGTCTTTTTGTACCGTATTTGAATATTAATCATTAATTTTGATATTCTTTACATCACTCTCTCAGCAAACGCTTAGTTCGATGTCTTTAGTAACAAAGAAAGTAGAAAAAACAAGCTGCATTATCAAGGCAATTAACACAGTATGTCGCCTTTCTTTTATCAACTGCGTTGCAGTTTCATGTAACTTCGAGTAACTGCAGCGCATTAATCGTAGTGAAAACTCTATCAGAAATTACGGTTATTCCGCCATGATATTCATATCTTTCATTCTCTGTAATCGACATCGAATAATTCTAAGTGATACTTTGTTATTTGTAATTAATCAAATTCTAGCGCTAAAATGTAGCCATATAGGAGCTGCTTAAAAAGTAACCTTCATGAGACTTCGACTCATAATTCATTCTACCCGAAAAAGATAGAATATGTACTTAGAAAATTATTCTTAACTTTTTTTAAAGTGTTTTTTTTTATGGATTTTAGGTTTTCAGTTTGTTTACCTTTTGAATTTCGTATGTTTTAAAATTCAAGAAAACAAATTTTTCTTAACCCTTGTTTTCAATTTTTTAGATTTTCTAAGTGTTTGTTTTTATTTAGAAAATTGTTCAATTCAACAATAGTACGCCGACTTCGCAGTTTGACCGAGATCAAACATACTGGAAACAAACTTCTTTCGAAAACAGAATCATGAAATCGTTTGATGAAAATAAACTCTTGATTGATGAAATACTTAGACGAATTGAAGCACTGGTTAACTTTCTTGACATCAGTATTTGGATAAATTCTGATCTGTGAACTACAGAACAAAAAAAGGAAAGAACAACGAAACAGCAAAGAAAAGAGATGCACGAAAATAGAAAGCTTTCACCAAAGCAATTTTTCACAACGTCATATTACCTAACTCAATCACACGTAGAGATGTTTTTGTTTATAAATCAGCATCTTCTATTAATACTTAGCTGTTAGTGTTTCTCGTGATACAAAATGAAGAATAAGGCCACAATTTGACTAATTCAGCGCAATAATACTAACCATAGTTTTTTCTTCGTGACCGTATTCTGAAATGATATGAAAAAGTGAATTTGCAATTAAGATTATGAAAAGTTAGAAGAGTAGCATATAGCATAGACTAAAATCTATTTGCTTATTTTCAAGCCAGCTTCTGCTGTAACTATTTCCTAATTTACTACCAATTTTAATTATTTCAAACAGAATAATTCTTTAGTAATACTTTTCCATTTGTCAAGATTATTATACTGAAGAAAAACTTCTCGTCGAAATAGTGGATATGGGTGTGTGTGTGAGGATGAAGGAAAGACCCACATCCACACAGCAGTACCGAGGATCTAAAAGTTGGTAATTCAAGGAAATTCAACAAATTGAATGGATCATATAACTTTGAATTATATTCCTGGGCGTTTCCATAGAATTGAAGGAAATTTTAAAAATTTAAGATTAGTTTTGGAACCTTTGCGCTGCTTAATGCAACCAGTGATGCAAGACTTCAGAGAGAACGAATTTCGTACAGTTTTGCCATTTAATTTCTGTGAACACTTAGGTTCTTTGGTAATATCCACAATCCCATCAGATTTTAGGCTGATGAATGATCCTGTTCTGTATGTTTATTGAATTCCTTGACTCTCTAGAATTGCTTTCAATCTTTTGAATTGCTTGATTTTCTACAATTTACTTGGATTTCCAGAATTCCATCATACTAATGCTGATAACTGCTCCTGTTCGCTAGGTTTGTTGAATTCCTTGAATCTCTGGAATCGCTTGATTTTCTAGACTTTGCTAGAATTCTGTCGTACATATAGCTTGTAAGGTAATATGTTATGTACATCAGTTGCGTTTGTTAATTTTCTGGAATTTTCTGGAATTACGATTTCGTGGATCCTTGGGGAATCTCTACTCACACACACACCCCATCCACCAATCCACACCCTCTAAATTTCGATGAAATCCCATGTGTTTTATAGCTGTTATTGACTTCTTTATTCATTGCTTTACCTGGCCCTTTTCGTGAGTAGAACTTAATGTCTTGGGTGTGAGTATACTTTTGCTTGGTGTTTCGTTTGGGATAGATAAATAGGTTTTTCTCACGACGACCTAGGATAGTGTTGAGGCGGACTCTTTCTAAATACTTGCTTCGAAAAACATATCGCAGTACATTTTGTGTCATAAAAATAAACCAACAACGTGGCAGAAAAGTCGTCACTGGAAGAAAGTAGCTTTGGTAAAGGCACCATCTCATTTCATAGACGTTGAGCAATTACAGCTGCATTGTGTTGATGTTGAGTAATTACACCGAAATTATGTAAAAAGGAGCAAGAAATCGTGTTAAAAGTGGCAGACAACAGTAAGCGATAAATAAAAAAAGCGGCGACGAAGACTGATTAAATTTTGCTGTCAAAATGCACCGAAATCGATTTTTGGGAACAACAGATTGGGACGCTACCATTTCCTTGCTAAGCAATTATTCGGTACCAACAAGACTACGCGATCGTATAATATTAAATCGAATAAAGCAGCAAGATGATTTGCTTTTAATTGAATTGGGTACTTTATTAAGCGCCCACGAATGTGATGATATTTTGGCCAATATTAGCAAGGAAACATTTGAACATATGTCAGAGAAGTATGACTCTCAAAAACGCAACAATTCACGATTAATAGTAATGGATGATCGATTCGCTCGAATACTTTGGCGACGTTTAAGGTTGAGTAATGGAATAACAAAATTAGTTTCCAATACAAAGCCGTTGGGTTTCAATGTGCAAGGACATTGGGAGTTGAGTGGTGTGAATAGGGCTATGCGATTCAACAAGTACCGTCAAGATGAACATTTTGCACCCCATAAAGATGCACAGTATGCCCCTAATGGAGATGAACGATCATTGTTCAGTTTAGTGATATATTTGAATGATAATTATAAACAAGGTGAAACGAAATTTTATTTTCCAAAAGTGACACCAAAATTCGATACAAAAGGGTTAACGATTGCAGAAGAAATTGAAGCTTATGGTGGATTGGAAGGAGGTTACGAATGTGCAACAATTAAACCAAAGAAAGGGTACGCTGTTCTTTTTACGCATAATCTCTTACATGGGGCCACAGCGCCACAGATGGAGATAAATTCCGATTTGATGGAGCGCATCATCTTGCGAACTGACATACTCGTACAACGAAAGGGAAAACCACTTGGATTTGCCGTTTGTCCAGAAGAACAAGATGATTACCTTGCTTGCTTGAATTTTTTTCGTGAAGCTCAACAAAACGAATTGAAAGTGTATGCAGATCCACGACAGTCCGTCAAAATCAGTGAAATCGGTGAATTATACGAACGTTCATTATCGATTCGATATAATTATCCACAATTACTTGAACTCAAATCAAAACCAACAGTTACTCATCAAGATGAAGAAAACCAATTGATTGATAAGCTCCCTATTGAAGTTTGGCTTTCCATTTTTAAACATTTACATGAACAAGATGTGCAACATCTAATATTTGCTTTTCCAAAATTTCAACTATTGAAAATGATTTGGGAAGCACAAGAGACAAAACGTTTTGAAACAGATTCATGCCGTTGCAAATTTATTCCAACTGTCCATTCTCAATATGGTAGTCGAACACTATTTCGCTTTCCTGACTCGGACTTTTTCTATCAACATATAGATGGATGTTGCCGTGTAGCAGCCGTATATGCTTTCTTCTTATTGGGACATGGATCAGATTCAAGAACCTACACAGTTCGATACGACAGAAATACACACGAAATATGTGAAGTGAAAATGGAAAAATTGTTAGCAGATGCATTTTATAATAGAAACTGCTATGGCTCTATATATCGCGTGGTACAAAAAGATGAGGTAAAACGCCAGCCAATAGTAGATTTAGATCATAGTGTTGATCGTATATATATGACAAATCGTCATCAATCTCAGTTTATTGGACAAGATATTTTATCACGTTTTCATTTTAAAATAAGACAGTATCATTCGTCCAATTCTGAAACAAGTGACGAAGACGAAGACGCCATTTTTGATAAACTTAGTATCCTAGGCTATCAGAGAACTCATGCTTTATACGATAGAGACAAAAAACTTGTTGATAAATATTTGAACGTCAATGATGGTAGACGTCTTTATCCGCATTGGATGAAATGTGCCAGAGATGATGTACTGGGATATTATGAATATTTGGTCAAACAGACGAAACAAAATTCGAATACGAGTCTGTTTCGAATGTTATTAGCGAAAGATCGTGTCATTGACGGATTTTGTGATTGTCCAATGAATTCTCATCCAAATCTAAACGAAGTTGAAGGTTTAATTCAATTTTATAACCATCTCGTATTCGATTTTGATACGCATCACTTGACTGTTGAACGTCTGTCAGATGAAAAACCAGTCTGTTCCGATTATAATTCTCTTTTATACCAATGTGTTCGAACATTGCAACGTTCAGTTCCACAAGAAAATCCCATTTCATTCTATCGAGTGAATATTGAAAAATTGGCAGAGGCAGCAAAAGGATTCAATCATGCGTCCTGTCAGTGTGGGTTTCCATCCGTTAAAATTGATCAATTTTCGTTTCTCGATTATACATATTTATCACATGTACATTTGGCCGTTGGCAAAAACACGGATGAGGTATTTGTTTTGGCTACTTATGATGGTGTTGCTGCATTTTAGTTCATGATGATTATTGAAAATAACGAGTTCTCTTTTGACTAACATACTTTCAACATCACTGAAATAAATATCCAATCATCTGCTCTGATTTACTAATTACGTTAATGACAACAGTTCATCACCTCGAATCGTTGTTTATAGAGGCGAGTTGCTCAAACGGCATGTGAATGCTGACTGTGTTCTCGAGATATAGAGTCCGATCGGAGATTTTCATGAGTTGACATGTGTGTGAGTGTACATTATTTAAAAAACCTGAAAACAATAAACCCTTTAATGATTTATTAAAGTACAGTGTATAATAAATTTTTATAAGGGTTTAGAACAATAATAGAACCTTTATAAGGGTTTAATGAAGAGTTCAGAAAACGAATAAGCCCTTTCATATACTCTTAATCAATTAACTTCCTGCATCAGTCATTTTCTCACAGAGTAGGGTACATGGGTGGAGAACGATATTTGAATCAAAAAATGAACGAAAGATCAAACGGGCAATCTATTAATAATTCGATGAAAATCTATTCTTCAAGAATAAAAACAACAGCCTATCACTAGCGAAGGTACTCATCAAGATAGTATTCATGTTAGAAAGTATCACAGATACTCATGAGTACTCCTGAATTTTCAGTACTCATTAACAGTACCCGCGCTAAAATCTGAGGGCATGAGTCTAGGTCTGGGCAGGTATAAGTGTGGGTGGGTGCGAGATGACGATGTGGGTGGGTATGGGGTAAAGGTGATGGTGGATGTGGATGTGAGTGTGACTGTGCAAATCATTCATTGAAGGAGACCCATGCCGTCACACCCATATCCACACCCATACCCACCCACACCCTTGTCCATTATTTCCTGAAAGTTTCAGAAGCAAACATTGTATTGGGAGAAAACGGCACACTGATGACCATTGCGTTATTGGCAAGGCTCCAGGGAGCCTATATCTCAAGCAAATGCATTTATTTTTCTACTAATGAAAGACCATGTCTTGAGGGTGTGGATGTAGATCGTCTTTTTCTGTACATCCACACCCACTTCTACACCCACCGACGCCCACACTCGTACCTCTATGACCACATCACCATGTTTAGATTGAAAGATCACTCAATTCTGTAATTCATATTATGAGCTCCGACATTCTTTCGATTTTCTTTCTACAACTACTTTACTGAAAGCTAAACAGAGTAGTGCAACTTAAGTATATAGGTCTGACACATGTTCAAAGAAAATTGCCGTTAACATAAACTCTCTCAATAGCTATTCAACTACGTAGCTCGAATCTCTCATACCTAAACTGTACAGAAAAATAGGTTGAATGACAATCAATTAATAGTTACATACATTACCAGTGGATGAAAAATCTAAACTAATCCGATTAAAATTGATCGAAAATGTCTTTCAATCAATTTTAATATATCGTATGCATATCATAGGTCATTTCCTTAGAATGCATGTTAGCATATAATGCGATGGGTGTGGGTGTGGGTGTCCATTCAGAGAAGACTTACACCCACACCCACATTGATGAAGGTAAATACTTGTGTTTATTTAAAGACCAGAGCTATATCATAGGAAGATCGCATATGTTTTACTCTCATATCAGATAAGGAAGATTTCTTTAGATTACTAAATGTTGTTGAAATTTCTTATGAAAAGGGGATAGGTTATATGAAGCTGCATACCCATACTCTTTCACTCAAAAATTAAAAAGTTCAGAATATTATACTTTTGAAATGTGTAAGATTGTATTGAGTATAACTCGACTCAATACTTGTAATCATTAGACGAACTATGTTTTATAATTATCCACTTTTCGGTCTGTACAGTACGAGAAAAAAACGAATCATATAAATTAGAAAAGCGGTTAAAAGGATTATTAGACTTACCTAAAGTCAATATTGCAGGTCGAAATGGCAATATTTAGTTTTCTAGTAAATATCAAAAAATGGATAATAAATTTAGTAAAATGGTTATAATTCCACTTTAGAGATCCATGAACACTAGAGTTCGACAGTTCCTAAAAAGTATCTTTGACATCTATAGTCTTATAATAGTATACTAGATGAATGATCCAATAAATTTGTCTAGGGATTTGTAAATTATGTTTCTTTTCTTCGAGATTATTAATATATATTATTTTTGACAAAACAATGTCGAACAATAAAGCAACAGATTAAGAATGAGAAAATGATGACTATTTTTTCGATGTATAAACTTTTCGGTAATAAAGTATCATACTGAACTGAAACTTTTTGTAATAATTGTAGATGCCTAATTACAAAAGAAAAAAGTTTTAACTTCAAATCTCGTTCTTAGTTCGAGCTAGGACAATTTTACCGTATTGATAATACCTTTTTAACACTATCGCATCTACTCTTGTTTTGATTTTCTTCTTCCTGCTAACCTTGAGACACCCATTAAGTCAAAAAACCCTTCGTAAGACTAAGAGAACTTATGAAACAACTTAAATTCGGATAAAATTTTGTTCAAAAACATTTTTCTCTTTAGTGAAGGTCTTTTTTTGGAAAAATCCACTTTTCATAAACAAAACATATTTCATTTGATCACTTACTGCGATAGAATACCACTGAAAAAGCATTACCAAACATTAACTGCTGTAATTTTTTTTTTGGAAAAAAATGATTCTTTAGATGAAAAAATCATCTTTTATCGTAAAGAGCTCGTTTTTAACAGAGATATACTTTAAAGTCATAATGATTATGAAAGTACACATCGAACTATCAAGCCATACCTTTTTTGAAAAAGTGATTTTTTGACGATACTAAATTTGTTCAGGAGCCTTCATCATACTTTTAATTATTTTTCTCAATGTAATGAAGAATTGCGTAAAAAATATGCTTCATTCAATAATGAAGCTGAACAAATAGTTGTAGAGAATCAAATAGATCGATCAAGTATTTCAAGCAATTCTTTTATGTTTGTTTATTCTTCCCATTTACATTAATTTTCTTCTTGCGACGTTTTTAGATGTCGATGAAGAATGTGAAGAAGCAGCTGTCAAAAAACGATATCTTGGCATTGTTAAAGTAAATTATATTTTTCTTTTAATATCAAAGTTCTTTTTTTTTTAAATTCTCTTTTTTTATTTTCTCTAGAATAAACGTAAAGTTCGTCGTTTAAATGATTGAAAATTTGTTTTTGATTGAAATGTTGGTGAAGATACAGTTGTTGATTATAATCCAACCTGTAAAGAAAAAAAAATCAATCGAAATTTCATGGTGATCTATTTGACCAACGTCGTACGTTGACAAGAAGAAAAAGATCGAGCAACGTAAATTATATTTAAAAAAAAATAAAAGTTTTAGTTATTCATTACTTTTTAGAGATCGTCTTAAATATGATCGAGATTGGCGTATTTTCAAAGAATATTATAATATGACAACCAGAGATGAAAATATTTNGGGGGGGGGGGGGGGGGGGGGGGGGGGGGGGGGGGGGGGGGGGGGGGGGGGGGGGGGGGGGGGGGGGGGGGGGGGGTAGGTGTGGTGTGTGAGTTAGGGTGTGCGTGAGGGGCTTACTCATCTAATACACACATCCACAACCACACCCACACCTACCCACACCCTCCCACAGTCCACAGTCCACACTCCGCACCCCACATCAACACGCATACCCTACACCCAAAGCCAATACTGAGGCCCTCGATTGTTTTCATAAAAACTAACTAAATAGTTTTAGTAAACACATTGTGTAAGCCATTCAGCTCTTTATTTTCCATGATTGACACGAAACAAGCATTAAGCTCAATACATGATCAGCAAAATAAGAACAGCAGCAAGTGTTTCTAAAAGGAATTTACTTTTTGAAATATTCGTAGAGCGATTGCAGAGATTTCCATTGCAGCAATACTTCCAGTCTTCATCCTTTGGAGGAGGATTAAAGCGAGGATCTTTAGTGTTTTGTTGATGAAGTTGAGATAAAGAAATGTAAAACGCTCGAGATCGTTGATTAGCTGCAAGTAGGTCTAGTTCTGTTTCAAGGAAAGTTCTAGCGTGAGAATGTGTACGCCGCGTCGTTCTGAAGCAACTTAAACGGACACATTCGTTATCTGGAGCTGGTCCTCGTGCTACCGCACGTTCGTAATTTTTATCGTGTATTACTTTCTATGAGATTAGAACTAGAGATCATTCAATAGCAAAATCAGAAGAAAACTTACTATGCACCATCCATTGGTTGGAGCTGGCTTCTTCGATATTCCAGAATTAGAGGATAGAAAAGGATCTCTGCAACCATTTTCATCAGAAAAATAGCAAGTCCAACATTCATTGAGACCGATGGAACGCTCAACTATAGATACAGTCATTTGCTATTTCAATATGTTTCAGTTTTTTCTGAAGATCTACATACCTAGTAAAAGAGACAGTAATAGAGCAACAATTAATTGCATTGATTTTGCAATTTTTAAGAGGGTGTGGATGTGGATGTGGACGTGGATGTGAGTCTAAATGAGCGTATTCTCTTCATCAACACTCACCCACACCCACATTCGGAAATATTTCTTGGTCAAATTATACTATACTGCGCTTTCATCATTCATGGTTTATTATTATTATTTCAAGTTTTTTTCACTTGAAATTATGATAGCATCATATTTTTGTCTGCGCAATATTTTGTGTATAAAAAGAAATATTCAATGCTTTCACACACATAAACTCATTCAAAGGTAAAGAGACTGAATGAATATGTGTCATTTTCGATGTGACGAAAAAGTCATTTTCCTGTGACTGTGTGTGCAGTATACCCAGACACAATTCAACGATCGTTTTCATATTTTGCTACACTTCAATGATCATAAAGAGTCAATGTAAAAAAATTTCTTTTTTTTCTTAGGCACTTCTCTTCATATTTTATTTTCATCAGAGCGCTGATCGTATGTCGGATAGACACTCTTACTGACTAGACGTCTTTTGTTGTTGTTTTTTTGTGCACTAAAACATAAATCATTCTGTGTGTGATTCTTTTTTTTGTCAAAGTAAATACAATATTGT